AGAGTCAGCCACGACACTAAGACGGTGACTAACCTGAGTCGCCAGTACTCTTGTTCAGACTAAGCATTTCAAGAGAGCCACGGTGAGCAATGAACCAAGAGTGAGGCCTGAGGGTGCACAGGGCTTCCACCCTCGGGTCAGTCCCACTGGACCTAGGGGAGCCAGCAGGAGACGGGGCCTGGACTGGGAGGAAGGATGAGGCCTTTCTAGGCTCTGCCTGCAGCCAGGCTGGTTGTCGACTGAGACTCGGGCCGTGGGCCCCACTCTACCCTGACTTCCAGCTGCTGCTTAGACCTGGCAACACTCTTGTTGAGTTCCACTCGGACTGTGGACCAAGCCCTCTGTTTCAGGGTGAGATCCTGGCAGCTGCAGACCCCCACTTCTTTCCAGTTCACCACATCCTGGAGCACAACCTCGCTTGGCCCTGGGAGACCCCCCCTGAAACAGCTGGGGAGGGGCAGCCCTGTGCCAGTTGGGGTTTCAACCCAGGTCTGCCCGGGCCTGCCTCGCCCACCCTGGCTGCCAGCACCACCTTCTCCCTCCTGTGTCTGACCATCTGGGTGACCACTTGTCTCTGGACAATGCCCCAGAGAAGGCTTGGGGCCAAGATAGTCTGTGTGCCCACAGCCTGCCCAGCCAACATGACTGATTTCTCAGGCATGACTGATTTTTCAGAGGCCAGCGATGGGGCCACTTTCCCTACTGAGGTCTGGGGGCATCTAGGGAGAGGGGGCCAGGAACCAAGGGACCCATGGTGGCCCCAAGGTGTGTTACCTTGGGGGAGCCACAGGTTTTTTCTCAGTGTGGCTTCCTCTCAGGACAACCATAGCGTCCCCTCCTGGGGTGACCAGGGCCTGGCACAGAGTATATGTCTGTGTTTCTCAGGTGTGGCCCAGGAACTCTGGGAGGACCCTATTCTCTTTTTGAGGGACAGGCAAAGTGACAATTATTTGAATAAAAATACTAAAGTATTTATCACGCACATCCCCTCCCAAGTGCATGCGGGGTTTTGCAGGGCCACAGGACCAGAGCCACGGCCACATACTGAAAGCGGAAGCAGGCGTGAGGATCCAGCCTCCTCTGGTAAGACAATATACAAGAGTCATGACATTGAAAATAATGCCAGACCCTTCCTGGTGGCACAGTGGGTTAAAGCACAGCACTACGAAGCTATCCAACCACTGCAAGATGAGTTCGATCCCCGGCCAGGGAGCTGACCCACATGGTGCAGCAGACTTCTTGTGACCTGTCTGCTGCTCCCCTCAGCAGGTATTTTCAGTGGATCTGCCTGTTCTGCTCCCCAGTCTGTCTCTGGTGAATCCTCTCACCCGCCACACCTCTGGTCTGTACCGCAGTTCTTGCATGCATAAATAAAAATAAATCTTAAAAAAAAAAAAAGATAATGCCTACCTCCCTCCCAACTACTTTTTTTGTTTTTTAAATAATAGTCCATCTTTATAAAGGAATGCTTTGGGGTGAGTATGTGAGTGGTTTACTTTTATGCTAAAATGAAAAGTTCCTTCAAAAAAATTCTGTCCAAGCTCATCAAGCACCATCTCCTATCACCACACCACCCGACACTCCACGTGACCCCCATGGCACACACGATCACCTCACAAAACTACAGTTCCATTGGTCAGGCCTGTTGTGTATGCCACTGGTAGCATGGCTCTCTTGTGTATGGGTGGCGGAGCTGATTTTATACATTCACTTGTCTCGAAACACAGGGAATGGTCTAAGGAAATGACAGAAAACATCCTGTAGCGTTTTCTTCATTTCTTCCTCTAGAGCTGAAGTAGACCCTGACCCTTTCCTTTCAGTCTCAAGACCAATGTTTAGCATGCCTTCCACTAACGGTCCGTGGGTAACAAATCTTCATTTGTGTTTATCTGAAAAATTCTAATTTCCTCTTCCTTTTCTGCACAGTATTTTCACGGAATCCAAAATTCTGGATGGCTCTCCCTCCTTAACTCAAAGGTGGCATCTTTGCCTGCCTTTATTGTTAAAGACGAGCATGTCATAATCAGCCATGACATCATGGCTTCCTCCATGTGCAAAGAGTCCACTTTGTAGAGTTGTGGTTTTTTTTTTTTTTTTTTGGTGTTCTTTTGTGTGACTCTCTTGCAGCGGAGCTCTGATGGGTCTAAGGGTGGTTGGTTTTGCATTTATTCTGGTTGGGATTTGCTGAGAGCCTTTGACCTGAGAGATGGTAGTGCCTGATTTATGACATTATCTTAAAGTGAATCAATATTTTAAATGTTTCTTGGTTTTAATTTTTAATACAGTAAGTATGGACACGCATACCACACACTGGGAATCCCAATGATTTGTCAGGAAAGAATCCCGAAGGCCACGGCATCCGGGAACCACTGGTGTATAGATAGCAATGACCTCACCGGCATCGTATTCGGGTCTGTTTGTCCCTTTCATGCTTTGCGTGTCTCCCCCATATGGAACCCCATCAGGATGATGATTTGCTGCCAGGTTTGCCCACGGCTCTCACCCAGCACCGAGAATAGCGGGTGGCACACAGTCGGTTCTCATAAAAGATTTGCTGCTCAGATAAATGAATACTAGTTGGTGTGCTTATGTCTTTAGTATTAGTCAGCTGTTTTTCCCTGTGAGACACCCTGCCAAGCATGTCAGCAGGATGATGTGGACGGTGCACCAGGGAGCGAAGAGCGTCGTGGGACATGGACTTGAACACAGGCTCTCTGAGACAGCCCTGGGCCAGTAAGTTCACCTGTAGAGACTGGGTTTCCAGTCAGTCGCGGTCAGGCACTGCTCCCGGCTCTAGCGGCAGAGCTGCAGGACCTGGGGATGAGCGCAGCCAACCTACACCCGCCTCTCAGTCATCACGTCAAAGGCAGATACTGAGCGTCCGCTGGCTGCCAAGCTCAGAGTGGAGCTAAAGGGGACAGCATGTCTGTTCGCTATGTGCCCCGTTGCAAAAGGAGACACAAGACTAGCAACATGTCCTTGGGCCAGGCGTGTCACCATCTGTGCCTCAGTTTCCCCGCTGGTAAAACGGGTAAGAATAGTACCAATCTCCTAGAGCTGCTGGGGGGGGGGGGGGGGGGTCGTGACAGCTCAGCAGAGAGGCTTCCTGCATGGGGGAGCTCTCCGACTGTGGTTCTCAGCAAAGCCATTTCTCTCCTGCTGTTCTTTGCCTCTGTTTCCCTAATTGGGAAACTCACGTCAGGGCCCTATAAAAACCCTGGGTGTGCTCCTGCTCCCTGGCTCTAGATCCTTCCTCTCCTGCATCTACCCCCTGCCCTTAGGGCTGTGGCTGCTTCCAACAGGAACGACAGCTGGACCCTGATGCTCTTTTCTGCTCTTCCAGCCCTTCTAACGCATAGGAGATAAATCCTCGTGTTAAATGTCCTCTATATGAAACACCCTGAGTGAGGTCTGGCCGTGACTTGGGCTCCCCCTCATCCCCTGAAGCACAGAAAGTGGCCACTTGGGTTAACCAGGCCATACCTGTAGCTTCTTGAGCTGGCTGTTGACGGTGGCGAGGTCCCCTCCTGGGTCCACATCTTGCAGCTGGCTTTCCATGTGAAGGAGCTTCTTGTCCAGCTCTGCGAAGCTCTGCACCAGCTGGTCGGCCTTGCTGGCCTCAAAGAGCTGCCGTGCCTTGGCCTGGGTGGTGCTCTCCAGCTCAGCCCAGCACTGCCGGATCTCACCCAGCTTTTTCCGTACTGAGGGCGCCAGCTCCGGTTTCTCCTGCATCAGTTGCTGGCCCTCCTGCCCCAGAAAGGGGGGGGCAGGAAGTGAGGGGCAACAGAGGAATATGGGGACAACAGAGAGGTGGACAGAGAGACAGAGATGAGGCGGTAGAGACAAGACGAATGAGGGCAGAAATAGGCCCAGAGATGGAAAGAACCAAGGCATGGGAAGAGAGAGAAGACAGACAGGTGTGGGGAAGGAGCCAGAGAAATGCAAAAAGAGGCATGGGAAGAAGACAGGGAGAGACAGGCCATCACGTGATGGACACAGAGACATGCGTACCAGTCAGACATGAGAGAACCGTAAGAAGACAAGGGAAAAGAAAGACAGGGAGCAAGAGAAGCAGAAAGAATGAACTTCCATTAAACTCAACGTCAAGGATGTCGGCACGCCAACTCTTCGGGGGCACCACTGGTCATTAAGGGGTTCAAAGCCCAGCTGGGAGGCTCTGTTTGAATTTGGAAGAGTGGTTATATCTAGGGTCAAAGGTGTAGGGGTTCAGTGTAGATAGACAGGGGTTCAGTCAGGATAGGGAGGACTCTTGGGGGTCGAGGCTTAAAATGGAATCTGGGGCCCTGGTGGGCCCTGTCACCCCTGAAGTTAAGCTCCTTGGTGGGCTGGAGCCACATACGTTACCTTACATGGGAAAAATAACAGCACAGTGACTACCACTCCCAGGTGCCCGGCCTCACCGCCAGCACTTCTGTGCACCAGAACAGCAATTATGGCTCTTATTCCCTTCATTTTAAAGCAAAGCAAACTGAGTCTTAAAGGGTTCACAGCTGGTACCAGGCAGAGTCACAGCTAGAACCCGGGGCTGTAGGAACCCCAAGTTCCCTTGCAGCCTCGCTTCCCGGGGCTGCCCCTGCCTGTCTACCTGACCTTCCCAGGAGGTGCTCCAACTGGTGTGGAAGGAAGCCTCGTGGGGGAGGCTCCAGAGAAGGATGACATGTTTAACAGCCAGGAGGGTAGGAGCGCTGTGCAGAAGAGACGCTGGCCGCTTCACAGGCAAGCGAACCGAGCGGCTACACGCTCGGCACAGGCACGGGGCTGGGAGGCGTGGGAACGGCTGAACCGGTTGAAGGTGTGAGAACAGGGACAGTGTGGCATGGAGGAGGGAAGCGGTTCCCGGAGGCCTCCGGCGCTGGCACAGACGGGGGCCTTCTGCGTCCTCACCCTCTCAATCTTCTCAAGCCACTCCTTATTTTGAGCCAGCTCCGCCATAAACGCCTGGTGCCGGAGCCATCTCTTATGCAGCTTGTGGCCATCTTCCCGCGTGCCATCTCGCGCCATCAGCATCTTCTCATGGATCCAGCCATCCAGCTGTGCACGACACGGGGAGGGACTCAGCCAGTTCCCCTGGCCTGGCACAGCCCGGCAGCCCCCCAGCCCCTTCAGAAGGTACCATGTTCAGGGCCCAGGTGGCCAGGTTTTAGGAATGGTGGGAGGGAGGAATGGACAACCTTTGCAGGTGAGGTGTTTATGATTGGTGGAGGGCAGCTCAAACTCTGTCTTAGGAGAGATGGTGGATGGGCACGCCCTGTCTTCAGGGCAACCCTGCTCAACTCCCCACGGGCCCCCAAGGCAGGGATCCTGGGCCAATCAGTCCCTCTCACCACAGTCAAATCAAACTTCCAAAATAAGTGCCCCAACCTAATTTAGCTCACTTCCAATTCAGCCCCAGAACGCACCCTTTTGATTCAGTCCCATTAGGGCCTGCTCAAGATCCCCCCAAACTATTCCTAAAGATAGCAAAGAAGCCCCTATATCTAGTCCCAGTCCCCCTGATATGGCCAGCTGAGTCCCTAAGCAACCTCCCCTGTAGTGTTAGGTTTCCTCTCCTGCAAACCAGCCCCTCCAATCAGGATACTTCCCCTTCAACCCACACCCAACTTCCTTGATGAGCCCACAGGACACCCCAAATCCAGACCTTGGACTCCAAGACCACAATTCTCCAAACCACAATCAGTTCTAACTCCCATTCAAAGCCATCCATCCCCCCAAATGGCAGCAACAGGGTTGCCTTCTAATTCTCTAAATGAGCCTATCCCGAAATATAGCTCCAGACTAACAGGCATCAGAAAGAACCTCCCTAGCCATCTCCCCTTACAAAACTAAAACCAATTCTAGTCCCCCAACTTAAACTACAAAACCCATTGTCGAAAATGCAGGCACCAAGAGTGGGCCTCTCTCACAGAACAGGCCCAATCACTAGGCTGTGTTCCGAGCCCCCAC